TCCCAGATTTCCTGATCAGAGAGCGGGATCATCAAGGAGGCATTCTCCTCGGGGGAAATTTTAAGACCAGAACTCCAAAGGTGGGGGGAAATGGACAAGCCCGATTGAGGGTTAGCCCCTAACAAAGACGAGAAGAAATCCACTACATGAGCTAGAATCACCGACTGGTCAGAGGAGCGCAGACCATTAATCATCAAACTGTTAATGTCACAGCGCCTACGCCTACCGTTCGCAATCGCAAAAAAATATGCAGTAGGAGCGTCCCCTTTGAGTGTCCAATTAAGAGTGCCCCTCTGGCGCCAGTAAATCTCAGCCTGATGGTGCAGCTGCAAAAGTGCAGCCTCCAGATTATAACGAACGGCCCATCCATCGTTAGAGAGCCCAGTAGAGTCAGCAGTACGATCCAGCTCCAGGATCTGATTTTCAAGAAAGGCTTTGGAGCGTCGATCCTCCGCCGCACGGTTACGCAACCACCCTCTAAGAAATTTGCGAAGGGAATAGAAGCAAGAATGCCAGTCATCCAGAGGGCCAAAGGAGCGGAGGTTGGAGGAGAGGGAGTGGGAAATTTTCGCAGCGACCATATCGACAAAGCCGTCAACCGACAGCCAAGAAGCATCAAACTTAAATCTAGCCGGAGGTCTATTGCAGATGGAACCATCGTCAAGAATCAAGGGGGTATGATCAGACCCGACAATGCATTTAGCGAGAAGATAAGACCTAGGGAACAGGGCATCCCACCTGGGACCAAGGAAAACACGATCCAGCACGGATCTAATAGGGTTAGCCTGATGATTAGACCAAGTAAAGCGAGCTCCCCCCCGAGGAAGCTCACGAATGGCGTTAGCACTAATGAAGTCATTAAAAGCATTGGCTAAAGGCCAAGAGAAATTATTATTATTCTTGTCAAGAGGGCAACGCAGCAAGTTAAAGTCTCCCCCAATAACCATCGGTAAAGTACAAGACTCAATCTTGGTCGAGAGTTCATTAAGGAAAAGGTTCGACAGAGAGTGGTCCGCAGGCCCATAAACAACGATGTACTCACAGAGGGTATTCATAGATTTGTGAGACAGAACAACACTAGCCCAAAAAAACCCATGATCAAAAGCAACGAAATAAAAAATATCCTTATTAGAGCCAATCAAAATCCCGCCAGAGTGTCCTGAAGCAGGTAATAATTGCCAATGAAATCTATCCATACCCACGATAGCAGAGAGCTCAGTAGGGGAGAAGGAATCCTTAAAAGTTTCAATCAGCCCCACAAAATCCATAGAGTTAGAACGAACCAAATCTTTAAGTTGGTCACGGCGCCCCCTAGCACCGAACCCCCTTATATTCCAGAATAAAGCCCTCATTTATACGACAGGTTCTTGATATGGAGACTCGACCTGCAGGGGGCCATGCATGATTTAAAACGTTTATTAGCGCCCCTCTTGGCAGGACAGGAAGGGGGCTGGCCACTACCAGCACCCGAAGCCTCCCCCGCAGCACAGCCAGCGTCTGCGACCCGCAAGGCAACAGCCTCTTTGGCTTTCGCAATGGCTGCCTGAGCCAATTCATTAGCCCGAATAATGGCAAGAAGCGAACTAGGAGAACCAACAGAAGAATCGACCACCACACCCACATCCGACATAATGTTTAAAAGATGATCATCAGACATCGAAGATAAAACCACCCGAACCGGAGAAACATCGGCAATTGAGGATGGGGAGGTACCTGGGGGAGGGAGGTCCTTTGCCGCAACCCGCTTCTCCGCCCGTTCCAGGATAGAACCACCAGAGTGCGCCACCCGTCTACCTATATGGGCCGTGGACACCGGGGAACGGATGGCAGACGACCGCACAGCAGGAGAGCCAACATGGGGGCCCGAGCAGGACATGGAGCCCAGATCTTGATCAAGACACCGACAAATCCCCGTCATTGATTGCTTCGAGCCCGACGAGTTCCGCTCTTAGCCGAGTACTTGCGCACTGAGGATTTCTTCTTCGAGGGGGGCTGGGATTCCATCATATCACGAGCAGGAGAGACAGGAAGATCTTCAATTCCCAAGCGCGTGGGGGAGAGAGGGCGAGCAGGAAGATTGGAGCAAGCACCAAACATAGGAGTGGCCGAGCAAGGCGGAGCCTTTGGCAGATCAGCGGCAGTAGTAGGAGCATTCTGAGCAGCAGGGGGGATCACCGAGTCATCACGAGGGGCATCACCATCAGACGCTTGAGATTGAAACAACTCTCATTCTAAGTCTGCCAGTCCATCCCATTCGGATTGAGTGAAGCGGAGATTAGACCCAAAGCTCTGATTAGGGCCACCAAAGGAACCATCCCCTTCCTTGTCATGCTTATCATGCTTATCCGAAGGATTAACAGACGGAGGGGGGGAGGTGGAGCTTGGAAAGCCGCCGCCACCCCCTCCACCCGCACCCGCAGTCTGATGCCATTGGGAGATGGGTAAACATCAATGAAACCATGCACCCGTTCAAGGTCAACGCACCAAACCTTCATCCTAGCAGGACCAACCTTGTTCAGAGACTCCTCATCCACCTCAATGGGTTTTCCAATCAGAACCCCAAAGGACATGAGAAAAGCAGACGAGCGCAGGCCAGCCGGCAGATCATCGATCAACACCCACACTTGAGAGAGAGGGCCAACCGCAGTACCATTGTATGAAGCCGCTTTAACAGAAACCACCAGTTGGTTAAGGGGCAAGGTGAAACTGGTGCAGGAAGCGATCATACGCAGGCATTCTTTGGAGGGGAACACCACAGAGAAGTCAAAGTTCGATAGCTGCACAACTTGCCAGTCCCAACCAGCCACATCCCAAATGCGGAGCCCTTCCAGAAGAATTTGGGGCGAGATCTTTTGGTCCTTGACAGAGACAGTCGCCGCATTGGACAGCGCAGGTGCCACCTCCCGAACAGGCAGGTCACCATCAAAGGCAAAGAAAGAGCAACCAGGGAGGCCCATACCAAACTGGAAGACCGCGGGAGGCTTCTGCCTATCCATGCAGTTAACCGTGAGGTGACCATCAGAATGGCAAATCAAGCAGAATGGGGGGTTGGTGCAGCGAGACTGGAAGTGCCCCGGTCTGTGGCAGGCAAAACAGGTGAGCGCCGATGGGTTGCTGTGGAAGGAAGGGGAGGGGCGGGGTTGCTGATGCGCCGGAGGAGGAGGAAGGATCCCATCCCCCATGCCTGAAGGGAGGGGCGCCCCCGAGGCCGGACCAGGTGGCCGACGCCGGCCCCGCGAAGGAGCGAGGCGGCGGACGAAAACCAGATCCAGCCCCAAACGCGCGAGGAGGCGGGGGAGGCAGGGGCCGAGACGGGGCAGACGAGCCCCGCCCCGCACCCTGAGTAGGAAGGGAAGCCGAGGACGAAGATACCCCACCGCCGGAGGCCACCGCCGCCTCCCACGGATCCAGCACCGGAGAGGGAGAAGGACCAGATCCAGAGCCCTGCGGACCAGATCCAGTCACCCCATCCCTCTCCGAGCGCTGCACCCGCTCCGGACCCGAAGCCCAGGCGTCGCGGCCACGAGCCGCCTGCTCGTGCACCGCCTGCTCCGACTCCAGCTTGGAGCGGAGCGAGGCCTCTAGCTCCAGATCCACCGCGGAGGCGGGGGAGTCCTCGTGGCGCCGCTTGCTACCAGAAAGCACCTCGCAGGAAGAGCCCCTAGATTTGTCCATGGAGATCACCGCAGCAAAAGTAAGAAGGAGGGGTGGGGGTGGAGGGGATCTAAAGACGCGACGGATGGGAAGGCGATAGCGGCGCAGATCAAAGGCAGAAGCAGGAAACCCTAGCAGGGGGGACGCCGAACCGCGTGGGATCCATATATAGCCCGAGCGAGCCGTGCCCCCCTGGGCCTGACTCGCCAAATGGGCCGAAGGAGGATGGGGAGCCGGTAGCCGGGTGTTGGGCCCAACTGGGCCAAAAGAAACGAGCGAGGGAAAATCGACCACCGAAGAAAGGAAGGGGCGGGAGGCCCACTAGCCAACACCGCCCCGATAGGCCCATCAGGCCCACATGGAGGGCAGGCCCGCAGGCCGGAGGCCACCGCACTGAGATCTGGATCTAGGGTACACGGGGCAACTGCCGGCCCCGCCGACGCCGCCACCGGCGACGAAGCCACAGTAGCCAAAGACGGAGAAGGAGAGGGAGAGGGAGATGGAGATGGGGAGCCTCCAAGCTCCCCATCAGGAGCACAGCCCAAGATACCAGGAGCAGGGGATGCGACCGCAAACTTACCAGATTTACGCCGACGCTGCGAGATCCGGATCCAGCCGTCGACCGACGGAGACACCACCACCGGCCGGCCTCGACCCCCGGGGGTGAACTTACG